GGTGTCTGTACCAAACGAGCATGTTTCCTTATGTCTGGAATATGATTTGTAGGCTCGGGGATCTCTGTAAACATGACTTCATTTATAGTGGTACGTTGTGACACATTTTGCCTTTATCCAAACATTGCAGCTCCTGTGGTTTGAATATTGCACTTGGCCATAATGAGATTTTGGTAATATTTTGATTAATGGTGGAGACCTTTATTACACATCCCATTGCTACTTTCTGCTGCAACACTATGATTTGATAACAAGTAGTTTTATTGATCTTGTATAATGTCGTGTAATCGAAGTGTTAAAGTGGTTCTTTGTTTATTTAGCTGAGCTACCTTCTGTTGTTTTGGATACTTTATATGCAAGTTCATCTCTATTTTTGTGTAACTGCCTGTTTGCCCAAACTACATCTGCTGTGATTTTTAAAAACTGATTAAAATTGAAATCAAACAGCAGGTGACCTTCATGCCTTTAGCCTACGTGTTCTATCAGTTTTAATCAATTTTTATTTAAAAAAGAACATAGATAATTTTTCAAATACAACTTTTTTTGGGTGACATGTATTAAATGGTGGATGTCTATGGTTAAAAAAAGAACTTCTCATGTCATTATTTTAAAAAGTTTGTAAAATTTCAAACATGACCTCCTTGTGTCAGAGCAACAGCCATATTATCTGTCTGCCCGTATGTCTGCGTATGCTGTATAATGAATCATTAGCAATAATAAATAATTAGTGTATTGTAGGCCTCATAGGTTTTTATTAAGCCAAGTATGTAGGTAGGACTTTGTTAGTCATGATTTTAATACATCCAATGATACTTTTGATGTAAACATAAAGGTTAAAAGTCCAGCATGTAACGCTGTGCTCTGTTTCCATTAGTAAGGTTAAAAATGATAAGAAGCAAGTGGCACTGTCCCCGACAAAGGACATGGGTCAAAATGTGTATTTTAAAAGGATTCAAATTAACATACACTTCTAAAACCTTAATATGATATAGTTAAGACTCTCATAAATGAAAACAACATCCTTATGAAGAACAGAGACAAAGATATTTATACATATATATCAATTATCTCCCTTCCTGCCACTGCATGGCACACTGAGTGCTGGGCGACACTGTGGGCACCTTTATATCCAGGTGGGTGGCCACGCCTCCACCTCTCTCCTTCCTCTCCATCTGATCTCCCTGTGGTGGTGGCTGCAGCCTGGCACGGTGGAGCCTTTGTTTGGCGCGGGCGACAGCATGACTGATATCGTGGCACACTTTTGGCACCCTCCTCATCCATACAGGTAGTTGTGTTGTCTGACTTTTCTCCATCTTGTCTGTCACACGGCTCCCAGCTGATTATCACAGCTGATTAATGCTATGCTTTATTGCTGCAGTGTGATGGAGCCACAGACCTTTGCTGCTCACACCCTCCTGTCTCCTATGAGGCTGTGCCTTGGCTCATTGGTATCTATGTGTTAAATCACTCCAGGAAGTAGACTAACCCTAAAAAAATGTATGATTACCAAAACTATGGATGGCATTCATTTGGTCCTTTTTTTAGGCTGCAGTTTAGTGTGTGGTGTGTCACTGGGCCACCACACCCTAATATCTGCAGCTGTTGTGGCATTCAGTGTTTCTGGCTCTTTTGGCTCACAGCTCTATCTCCTGTGTCGTGGCTGCTTTGGTGTTTTGGCTGTTCAGGTCTTTGACAAGCTCCTCATGCCGTGTCGTCAAGCTAGTTTGCTGTCTCTGTCAAGTAGCTGTCTGTTAGTCACTCACTCTACAACAGGAAACAGCACTTCCTGCACATGGCTTACTGAGACACGTGAATAAACTGAGCTGTCTTTGTTGTTGATGATGACACCAGTGCTTTGCTTTTCCTGCTATAACAAGTCAAAATGTGTAAAAGAAAAGAAAAAAAAATACAGTATGCTCCTGTATTTCATAGACTGACCTCATCTGTTGTCTGTCTGTCAATGTATGCTCTATTAGCTGCTACAGAATCGTGTTTCAAAAGAAAGATGACTTTAAAAAAAAGTCTGCAATTATTACAGGGTGGCTGTATATAGCTTCCTCTACTTGGCTCCAATAGAGCTGAAACGAGGCGGAGCTACAACAAGACAGGAAAACAACAAGACTTCAATGTCCGACTCCTTCAAGGAAACTAAAAGTCAACGGGAGAACTGTAGTTGAGACACATCTTGCTGTTTGTCTTTGAAGATAGAATATAGGGAACTAAGCTCCCAGAGTCTCTGCACACTGGTGAGTACAGCTGATCATTTCTACTGTGTTTAAACAACCAGCATTACCACATANACTGGTGAGTACAGCTGATCATTTCTACTGTGTTTAAACAACCAGCATTACCACATACCTGCACTGTGCTCACACAGGGTGTGTCACCTTTTCATTTAAGAACAAGACTTGTTAAATGAAACTTTTACTTATGTGCACTGTAGCTATATGTATAGTCATTATACTTTCATATTTTCAAACAGATAATCAAGAATTCTGACATTCTAGTTTTGCTTTTTCACACTTTCATTGTTGCTCTCATTGTTTAGATATGGCTGCTGCCAGCAGTTCACTGTCTAAAAATCGGTTTCTGTGCTCCATCTGTCTGGATGTGTTCACTGATCCAGTCAGCACACCATGTGGACACAACTTCTGCAAGAAGTGCATCACTCAACACTGGAATATTAATGTCCCCTATCAGTGTCCCAACTGTAAAAAGATTTTCTACACAAGACCTGAGCTGCAGGTCAATACTTTTGTCTCTGAGATGGTTTCTCACTTCAGACAGTCAGCTCAACAGAGAGCCAGCAGCTCAGAGCAACAAGCTGCTGAACCAGGAGACGTTCCCTGTGACGTCTGCACTGGACCCAAAGTGAAGGCCCTGAAGTCCTGCCTGGTGTGTCTGGTCTCCTACTGTGAGACTCACCTGGAGCCTCATCTGACAGCGTCAGGCCTGAAAAGACATCAGCTGAT